CACCACCACCACCACCACCACCACCACCACCACCACCACCACCACCACCACCACCACCACCACCACCGCAACAGCAACGATTCACACGAACACATGTTCCTGCAATGCCACGCTCTCGTCACCACGACTTTGCGTTGTCTCATCAACTAGCCAAGTGCCCAAATCTGAGAAGAGCCTTCGGTGGTGGTTTTTGAGGAGAGAGAGAGACGAAGGAGGGAAGTAAGGTAGAGGATGAGATGGAGAGGAGACATCGTTTCCATGGCAGTGTGTGGAGGTGCACACCACGTGTACTCTCTTCTGTTAACAGATCGTCTTAAGTTAGGTTGCAATGATGAACATGATAATGAAGGCGAACGCCGTCACATAATGACCCCAGTTTGCCGCTGTACAATGACTAATTTGAGCGTTCTTCGCCATTTGGTGTCCACAAATTCGAAACAAACCTTTCTTGCAATAGGATGTCAATAAGTGGAATTTTAGAAAAACGCCGAAAACAAACCCGATTTCACCAACTTTAGCCTAAAACGTTTAAAGTAGAACCCACATATGGTGGCCTTTGTGCTAAACGCCGTGGTGTTGTTTAAACAACCAGCACGTAGGAAGTTGTTTACACGATAACATCACCCACCGCATTCGCGTTACTTCAGCCAATGTAACAATTTGAAGTGAGCAGATTTTGTAAAAAACAAAAAAACACCGGGCATTTGTTGAGATGAAAAGAGGAGATCTGCTCCACCCATCCACCCATCCACCCACCCAACCACCCACTTACCCAACCACCGCCCTCCGACTGGTCACACAGTCAACCACCCACGTCGCGATTCTCACATTCATGACGCTTTGAGAAAAACCGTTTCAGTTGGCTAATTGACACAAAAATGCATTTATCTGGTCTCATTTTACCCAGTTGATAGGACTACTTGATGCTGGTTGTAGTGCCGCATCAAAAGAGTCGTAGATGATGCGATGCACGTCGAAGCACCTCAGCGCCATCTTGGAGCCTAGTTGTGATTGGTGGAAAGTGTGCGTGGGTGACCAGCGCCATCCAATAGCCTCGTTCCACACTAATTGCCTGAGCACTCAGGAAATGCGAGTTAATCCACCTGTTCATAGGATCAAATGAACTGCACACCAAGAATTCGCTAGCGAGGATTATGAGTAAGTGGGGCAGCAATGATAGCAGGTGTCCAATAAATCATCGAGGTGTGCTCTGAACGCTTTCAGGTGGGCGTCGCAGCTGGCATCGCAGCTGAATCTACTTGAAGTCCACTCCAGGGTCAATATGTAGGCCCCAACTTCGTCAGAGCAGGTTGTAAGTGAAATTACACTAAGCCTAGTTAGCCTGACAGAGGCCATCGTCATCGATGTCTTGTTCCAAAGAAATCGAAGTGTCCACGAGGTGCTTCGTGGACAAACATCAAGGGATCGCATAGAACAAGTTTTCGGAATCTGTATTCCCACCACCCAATTCCAATCTTTCCGTCTAATTAGTTCACGGATTGGCCAGGCTTGAACTGACAAATTTCCCACGTTTTTGTTTTACTCGTCTGGCGAACGTGCTGAGCGGTCACAAGGAGCGTCAGTGAGCTGGCCTAGAATCAACCTCTACTGCCCCCACACCACATAACCACACCCTCCACAACTGCATTATGACGCAAACATTCGTCGGCTTTGACGGTGGAGATGTCTGTGGACACGAACACATGCAGACCCACTGTCATTCACTCAAATCACCCTCACAAACACAGATTACTTTTAGTGTTTGGTTGAAGGCTTAACGAGTCTCCTCGTTGTCCAAGACACTCCTGTTTCTCGCCTACCCAATTTGCGTCAATTTGTGCAAAGTCGTGAGGTCGAAGACTGGAACGGAAGTCAGATGACAACTGTGTCGGATGCCTTCGTCAAAGTGTTTGCACCGCCCACGAATAACAGCAGCCAGAGCGGACGTGAAACGAGGCCACAGCTAGGATTTCCATCACAGCGGCAGCAAATGACGAAATTTACCTGGCCGAATTCCCTCCACCAGACACAAAAAGTAATGTTTACTGGAGGAATCCTGGCCCTATAATTAGAAGTTATCGCGAGACTGACACAGCCATGTACTTTTCGGTGCAAACAAAGACACGTGACAAAGACACGAGTCGGGTAATTTGTCCGCAAATCGAGGCAGTCTTTGGCTCTGTCTGTCCGTCTGTCGGAGGTGTGCGTTTTGCGAGGAGTGGAGAGGAGGCGTCTTGTGTCGTGGATGTCCGTCCAGCACACAACGTGGACGTAGGACAAGAGTAATTCAGGCTGTTAGTGGTATGCGTTGGTAATACCTGAAAATTGCACCCAGCAGTCCAATGCCCAACCACCACTATCACCAACTCCACTTAACATCAACGCCGGACTTTGTGCGCTGGCATGGAATCGACCATCATTGTCACCGCACAACAATCAATTAACTCTCAGGCGTTCACCTGAAGACAAGCTCTCGACAATGACACAGCAGAAGAGCCCTCTTAACACAAGTCACTCCTGTCAAAACAGCAGATTTAACACCGAAATGGTACGACAGAATCATCCATCGTTGTACCTCGATGGAACGAAGTTGGTTTGTGCTCAAAATGTACGTGGAGTTCAGCAAAGTGGTGGAGTTGAACTGGACGCGGCATTTACTACGGCAGTGGTTTTCTTAGAAGCAGTTAACCGACTCGAAGCAACGAACAGCTGATGAGGCTCAGTGTGCCAGGGCTCTGTTTCCCATAAAGTACCATAATGTGGCGTCATCCAATCACCCAACAGACCACTTACGTTGCCATGCCGAACAACCACTAATTACACCACCTCATCGTTGTTCTACCAATCACAATTTTGGTGGTGTGAACAGGCGACTTCTTCAGTTAGCAAATAGGTGGCGGCCTTGTTACTCCCAAACCCCTCTAGACGAGCCAGACAGCTGACAGCTGTGACGGTTTACTGAGCGAATGCTGTTTAAAATCTTCAAATTGGCGCCAAAACGGGATTTGAAAATTGCGAAATGGTGTTTTACCGCATTAATCCGGAAACTGGCTTTTTACTTAGACGATTCCTCATCCCCAGGTTCCTTATTGGGGATTTGCGGTGAGCCAATCACAGCTTTGCTAAGTGGCTCACTAAATCCGTCGTTTCGTGTGCTGTTGGTGTAGACTGCAGACGATGCCTCGTTTCTACCCGTGTGGTATGTGCCTTTGAACGACTTCTCACTTGTGAAAAATCAATCCTTGCCTGCTCCATCACTTCTTCGCCAATCAGACAACAATATTTCCGACCAATTACAGAGCGTAGAAAACCATCACAGTTCTCACCACTGATTTGAACAAAAGAGCAGATTAGTAAGATGCAGCGAGCTTCGTGGTTAGTGTGCAGCGACAATTCACAATTTGTCAATACGTGGCAATTCACTCCTTTTAAATCAGAGAGCTTCATGAAGAGACCGTTAAGAGGTCATTCGTTGAGGCAGCATTGTCGAAAACGAATCCTATGTCAACCTGTTCTAGCCGTTTTCATCAATATCTCACACAAAGCTGACGCATTTAAGTCCATGTGGACGGAGGTAGCTCAGCAATCAAGCCAAGCAAAATGCTATACGCAGTGTCGTGTCCCTCCACTGACTACGATGTTTCCCCTATTGCCCGTGGTTGCCGTCCGCGATGCTGCACACCTTCACTACCAGTGCAAAATGGCAATCGGTTCAGCGAGAGGCATTTCTGTGGACATCCGTCT